TTGTTTTGTTCAGGTTCAAGCCTTGGACTGATGAGAGGGCACAGTCCTCTCATTGCCACATGCAAGTCCCAGCTTGGAGGGCAGGGCTCTCCCAGCACAATTATAGCCGACAGCTGTAGTTGTAAGCTTGAACCTATGTTCGAAACACATGGCCCCATGTGCCCAAGTGATGTGGGCTTAATAGAGTTCGGGTGCATGTAGTTGAGTAGGATTGAAACCCAGGAGAATGTTGTGAACATCTTGGTCACGCCCTTACTTTGCCTCATAGCATCTGCTATAAAATAAAGGCATGGCTGTGGACGTGGTTGCTGTCTCTCAGAGAAGCAGCATCGCACCGAGACCTGACTTTCATTCTCTTGTCTGTCTTTTCTAAGCCTTTCAGCTGCTCCCACTCAGGTTCACCCCTGGCTATGCTGGTGTGGCACACTTTGTAAATATATGCCTCCATGCTCCCAGGGTGGGTTCCTGCCTCAAACCCCGCCCTTACAGGAAATAGCTCCAGGAAACAGCTGGGGGGGGGGGCGCAGCCGTTGCCAAGACAACCCCTGCAGGACTGACTTCCTTCCGCTTGGTCTCCCAGTTCTGGTCATGATGAACACCACCCAGGGTTTTTATATAAGTAAATTATTTTGGACAGTTTTCTGCTTTATGATATTTATTTAACAAACATAAAATAGAAATTTTGATAATTTTTTTTCCTAGTATCTTTATGTATCTGCAAATGCATAATTTTAGTATAATTTATTATTTAACTCAATTTTTAATGGACTATTTTTAAATGTTAAACATCTCTCTCCATTCTGCACTCTAGAATCACTGTTTTGTGCTAACCTTCGTTTTGCTTCCAAACTATTCTTATCTCTTCAAAATGATATCTGTAGTCATATTTATGTAAAAAATAAGTATAAAGTAAGTAACCCTATGTTTTAACAGAATCTGTTATTTATTTATTTTGATTAAATCTAACCATATAATTAAACCATATTTTGGTTAAATCCAACAGCATAATTGAAACAGCAATTCCCTCTTAATGTTCATCTGATTGAAATTATTTATTGTGTAACAATGCTTATGATTACATGTTAGATATCATGGTTAAATACTTAATCTTGCTATGTGATATTTATGAAGAACTTTATATTATTATAATAGCTATTATTATATTAAATTTTTATTTGACATTTTTTTCTATTTTTCAATTTGATATGGCTCATCTGTTTCTCTTAGCATCATTTCAAGTGATTTCAGGTGTGTATCAACTATAATTACTGATTTCCCTATCCCCTTATATTAGAAAAGCAATGTTTATATTATTTTAATCTTATTTTGTATATCAAATGCCATACAGATTATAACCTTGCACTTTGCTCTTTTGGTTCACTCGTTCTTTTGATTCATGTGAAGCACTCTCTGGCACTTGTCCACTGTCTAATTAAAGTCTCCCTCTGAAAAAATGAAAAACATATTCTTCATTAAAAGAACAAATTAATTATTTTATAGAATGATAAACATCCTTTTCCTTTTCAGAGGCGAGCTGCTGATAATTTGAGAAGACATCACCAGTATCAAGTAAGTTAATCATGTATTATATCTTGAAATTGTGGACATTAAAATACAGTTCCATCTTCAGAACTAAGCAAAGAAAGAAATCATATATATGCACTGAATATCAATTGTGTTATTTTTAAATACCTCAGGAAGTTATAAGGAACCTGGTGAAGCGATATGTTGCTGCAATGATTAGAGATGCCAAAACTGAAGAAGGCCTGACTGAAGAGAACTTTAAGGTACCTATTTTTATTTTAATGATGAAATCACCAAGAGTCAGATTATGCAGAGCAGAACCTAACATAGCGCATTGAAAATCAGAACTGGAAACACAGCTGTGTGTTCCAGCTAGATTTTGTGTCTTCTAAATTAAAGCACTATTGTATTATCCAAAAGATTGATGGCATTTCTTCTCAAAATGCATTGTTTTCAAACATACTTACTCTGAAATGTCGAGATGACTTATTGAAGCCATCCTGGCATTCTGACTGCCTATCCTACTGAGTGAGCTTTACTTTTTGAAATTTCAGGCTGATTTCTAATCCTGAAATGTTTAGTAACCAACATGCTAAAAACAAAATCTTTGTGTTCTGCACAGCTTTGATAGAAGAAAATTTTGCACTTAATTGTAACTTATAAACTTAGTGTTTCTCCCTGAGTTTTATTTTTATTGTAACCAGAGGAAATAGGTAGAATACATGAAATATATGAATAAATATAAATATATTATGTGTGCAAAATACCTCTGTTATTCTGCCTGAGTTTTTTGATATTTTGGAGGAATGATTAAAGTCAATAAGATCTTATAGGCAAAATCTAACACATAAAAATCATCCTACAGGAGACCTTTAACAGTGAAAAGTATAAGTTTGACAGAGAACAAATATAACCAGCCAATTAGGTAAGAAAATAGATAAATTGCAAAACTTAAAGCACATTGATAGTTGGCTAGGATCCAAAATGTTCTTTACAGGCACAACATCCAAGTTTTAGAATTAAATAGTCCTTTGTACTTTGGGAGATAGGTTGGAGGCAGGGGCCCACCTTATAGGCCACCATTAGATTAGAGCTGAGAATTCAGATGTCCAAAAAGAGAAGAAAAATGAATCTCAGAAATGCTATCTGATTGAATTAAGCAATTTGCAAGATTTAGTAGCTAACCGAGATGCTGAGGTAAAAATACACTTTAAGGTAGTAAATAATGGAAAGTTACTTCCCACACTAGAAAGGGCAGGCTTCACTTTTTTTTTTTGTTATATGTGTCCCTTTGGACAGCAAAATATACCTATGTTAAAAATATTTACAAAATGTATCCCTGAGAGAGTGTGAAGCGATTTCAAAGCAGATGGGTATTTGCAGAGGAAGTATTTGAAAGTGTAGCCCCCACAAAAAACAATATACTTGACTACGCAGCAGTGAAAAATAAAAGACTTCCTGTTTCTTTTCACATAAACCTTAGGAAGTCTCCTTATTATTACAGAACTTGAATAGGAAATGAATAGATATCACAATGACACAAGTACCAGGAAGAAAACTAGAAATTCTAGGTAGAACCACAGCAGAGTGGAATCCTAGTTCTTAAAAATGCGTGAAAACACATCAGCCCCATGTATGAAATGAGCAAATGATGTTTACTAATGTTTATTTAAGTCACAAATTTCATCATTTTAAATTTCACTTAGGAGCTAAAGCAAGATATTTCTAGTTTCCGCTTTGAAGTCCTGGGGTTACTAAGAGGAAGTAAACTCTCTACAGTACAATCCGCTCAGGCTACGAAGGACACTGCTAATTCAGCAGACTCAGATGAAAAGAGTGATAACGAAGGTACCAGCAAAGACAAGAAGAACTTCAGCCTTTTCGACTTAACCACGCTGATCCACCCGCAATCAGCAGCAATTGCTGCAGAAAGACACAACATAAGCAATGGTTCTGCGCTGGTGGTGCAGGAGCGCCTGCGGGAGAAGCAGAGAAAAGTGAATTTTGTGACTGATATAAAAAACTTGGGGTTATTTTATAGACGATCAAAACAAAATTCTGCTAAGCAAAATGCAAAACAAATCTTCTCTGTTTCAGAAGAGGTTGCTCATCAACAGGCTGAAGTATCGTTGGAGAGAAATATTCAACTGGAATCTCCAGGATTATCTTCAAGGGGTGACCTGAGCATCCCTGGTCTCAGTGAACAATGCATGTTAGTAGACCACCGGGAAAGGAATACCGACAGTCTGGGTTTGCAAGTTGGAAAGAGAATGTGTGCCTTCAAATCAGAGAAGGTGGTGGTAGAAGACACTCTTCCAATAATACCAAAGGAGAAGCATGCAAGGAAAGAGGACTCTAGTACAGACTATGATGCAACCCTCACTAACACAGTCATCCAGGAAGATTATGTGACCACAAGATTGTGATACTTGAAGGAAGGAGGAAGTGTTTATCATACATATATCTTTTCTATAGTGCTCTGAGTTGGGGAGAGTGTTTAAAAGTAAATTAGCAAATTCTAACTTATACTCTAAGCATTTATCAACTCTAGCATACTAACATGTAACATGTTTAAATAAGGCAAAAGCTATCAAAAACCCTTGTTCTGTAGCCCACTTTTGCTTGCACAATTTGTTTTACATTTTTTGCTGTTAATAAATAAACTCACCTTTTATCTTGCACTGTTGCAGTAACATGGGCAATTTTTAGCTCTTTTTCAATTAAAACAAATTCAATGTCATAATTTAGTTGACTCCTGCAATAGATATTTTTATATCCAAAAATTAATATAGCTAAAATATTAGAGCTTTTCATAAATTTTAGGGCCTCTAGAGATGGGTACTTATTAAGGACTTTTCACTCAGCCCTATGGTTTAGCTTTAATTCACAAATATTAGCAAATTATTTCTTAAGAAAAAATGAATAATTATCATACACAATTAAAGCAAGGAAGGCTTCTCATGGGGTCATGATCAAACTCTTTTTTAAAAATGAAAGTTGGGCCCTGGCCAGTGTAGCTGAGTTGCTTGGAGTGTCCTCCTGTACACAGAAAGTTGGCAAGTTTGATTCCCATCAGGGGACATACCCAAATTATGAGGGTTTGATGTCTCTCTCTCTCTCTCTCTCTCTCTCTCTCTCTCTCTCTCTCTCTTCCTCTTTTCCTCTCCTCCTCCCTCTTTTTCTCTCTAAAATCAATAAAGTTATCCTTGGGTGAGGATTAAAAAAGTTAAAAATGTAAGTCTGTATACTTCATAGAGTTTTAGTTTGACCAGTTTTTTCTTTCAGAAGGTAAATAAATGTTTGTCCTAATAAATTTGGATGACTGGTGATTTTTAACATTTTACCAAAAAAAAAAGTTTTAAAGTTTTATTTTTAACCAGCCTTTTTCAGGTGCAGTATAAATATGAGGCTTTATGAATAGAACTGAATTTCAAAAAGGTGACAAAAGTTGTTAGTACCAGAAAAGAATCACAGTCAATAAGAATAGTTTAAGTACCTTAAACAGAAGAACAACAACAATAACAATGCCAGCCAGCTTTACATGCTATGCATGTATTAGCATATGCACTGCTCATAACAACACTCTGAGGTAGCTACTATTCTTATCCCCACTTAATAAATTAAGAAAATGAGACAAATACTAATTAAGCTGGGTTCATAATAAGTGATGGAATAAGCAAAAACATGTTCACGTAATAATACTGGGATTTAGATGAGTGAATGGTTCTCTAGTCTCATGACTTTTTGTGTTATTTTTACCACTTCTGAAATGCTATGTTTTGAGAGAAAATGAGTAAACTCCATACATCTGTGACTCTTGTTGTAAAGCAAGAAGAATGTGCAAAATTAATGATGCATGTGATTCTTTAGACTCTATTTCAATCTAGATTAAAAAAATTTTGGTATGTAATATCAGAATTCAACTTGAAATATTAGATTTTAGTTTTCAGAAAAGCCATGGGCACTGATAACTGCTTATTCCTAAACCTGGTTTTGTCCTATGGATTTTAGAATGGGACAGGTAAGTTTGGAGAAAACAATAATGCTAATGAATGTTCTTCTTGCTTCAAGCTTACTTTTATCTCAAGTATGTTAGAACTCAAAATAAACCCTGGAGAAAGTGAAATATCTAAATTGTTCTAAATCAGACAGACAGTGATAGGGGAATTGTAGGCCTGATCTCAATACTTAATGTATTTTCCAATGATTTCTTTTTTGCTGCAGTTTTTTGTTTAGTTTAGTTTTGTTTTGTTCCCCAAAATAAAGATCATATACATCACTATCCAATCTAATAAAAGAGAAACATGGTAATTGGCATACCACCGCTACCCTTCCCATTGGCTAGTCAGGGTGATATGCAAATTAACTGCCAGCCAAGATGGCGGCTGGCAGCCAGGCAGCTTGAAACTAACATGAGGCTTGCTTGCTTCAGTGACGGAGGAAACCAATGATCCCCGCCTGCCTTGCAGGCCTTTGAG